CTGCAAGAAAGAGGACAAAGAAATCACAGCTCTAATTAGGGCAACAATAACGCAGCATTTGTTGTTGAATAATATATCTCTGAAAAATTTGGCTAAGTTGATAAAATTCCATCAATAATGAAACATATTTAAAGAGAAAGAAACAAAATGATCAGTTAACTGAAACACTATTATCAGCTATCTGTTCATATACGGGACTCGTTTCTTTCTGTTCAGTTTTTTCCTTATTCGTGTGAACGGATAAGAGAGAGCCTGTTCAAGTACATGCATGAACATTTTAAAAAATAAATAAATATTTATTGTTATAAAAATTATAAAATATTTTTGGAAAAAGAATCTGAGCATGTGAGATCTTGGTGAACTTCAATTCAGGACAAAGAGGTGACAATATGCACATTAATTCTAACTTTGCCTCGTAATAATACTTCCGATTTTTAATATAAGAACTAGTTTGACTTTTTATTTAGTTTTAAATATAAGACCCCAATCTATTTTGCCTATCATATTTATCTATTTTTTCCAAAATAGTCCATATAGTAGTTATTCAATCTAATGATAGGGTTAGCTAATACATTATTAGTAAGAGTATTTTAGAAAAGACAACATATAATTATTATAAATAACTAACTCAACAAACTTTCTTAATCTATTCAAATTAATTAATTAGTTTTTATATTAAGTACCGGAAGCAGTATTATCTGTCAAGGGGTCAACTTGCAGACGTTCTATATTGATAAAACATACTTTCGAGGGAGAAAGATTACGCTTGTAAACACGCCATATTATAAAAATGTGAAAGGGACTAACCTTAATCCTCAATTAATTAATATAATTAGCAAATCCACTTATATAAACTTAGAATGATTAGCCATCTGTGTAGAGGTGTGGGGCCACAGTCACAGATATATCGGGAAAAGGTTTATATTCTTTGTATCTATGGATTCTGTATATATACCGATTCACGGGCTGCACTTTAGCCTAGCTTATTCAAAATATATATATATATATATATATATATATATATAGAGAGAGAGAGAGAGAGAGAGAGAGAGATTCAATACACAAATGGAATATGCACGGTGGACACGTAAATATGCTATTTTTTCCCGAAAATATTACGAGATTTTTTTTTGCATTTATAGATATCTTCCAAAATTTGTTATAGGAGAGGGGGGAAATAAAGGTTGAATATACGAAAATTACGTCATTGTTTTTCTCTTCTATCTGATATATGCACACACACACACACACACACACACACATTCTCAAGCATTAATATTGGAAAATTATTTTCATGATCCAATGCTCATTATCATGAAGTTTATAACCAGTAATAATTAATTAGTAGGAATTTAGTCTCTTTCTTTTTGGATAAAAGAATTTAAGCTCAATGCCCAAAGCCACCGACTACATACGTTTGGCCAAAAATTAACCTTTAATCAGTCAACAATGGTGTCCTTTATTTGTAATTAAAAGCTTAAACTCACGACGTGAAGGTTACGGAATGCCATAATAACATCGTAGAGTTTTCTAATTGCATGGTATAAAATCATCGCTATCAAATGAAGTATAAACACTATCTGAGAGAAAAGTAAATAATTCTCTCGCATACGCATATTTGTTGTTTTTTGTCCTGGTTTTTTAAATTATACCGTCCTTCACTGAAAACTCAATTGAGCCATTCTGATTCGGTTAGGCGTTCGATCTCTCTCTAGGATGTGCTCGCTTTTAATTTATCTCCTCACTTCTCTTTTCCATTATACTTCTTTTACTGTACATCAATTCTTTTAATGTTATTGTCATGTGTGTATCCTGTTTATGCAGTCTTTTTATGTTACATTGCCAATTTGATTAATTCAAGTAGATTGAAGATGCTAGTTAAATTAATACTCTTTCGATCTTTAATATAAGACTCATTTAACTAATTTGATTAAATTAATGATGTTAGGTAAGTTAGTTACTCCTCTGGTCCTAATTATAAGACCCAATTGACTTTTTTGAGGAGATTAAGGAAGTAAGTTAAGTTGGTTATTTATAATAAATAAGTGTTGTCATTCCTAAAATATCCTTGCTAATTAAGTATATTGGCTAAAACTATCATTATTAGAAGGATTATCTTGGAAAAAAATGCATAAATATAATAAACAAAATGGATTGGGGTCTTATAATTAGGACCAAATAAAAAGTCAAATGGGGTCTTATAATAAGGACCGGAGGAGTAATTATAAGAAATGTCACATGTTTTTCCTAAAATACTATAATCATCTTTCTTAATACCTCCTTTTCTTCTACTACTTGATTATGGTTGAGAGAGTCTCTATAGGGGTAATTTAGAGAAAATTGATAAATATGATAAATGGGTCTTATATTTAGGACTAAAACTAACTCAATAATTGGGTCCTATATTAAGAATTGGAGGAGTACTACTTTATGTCCTAGATATAAGAGCTAGTTGACTAATTTGAGAAGATTATGAACATAAGTTAAGTTAGTTATTTGTAATAAATAGATGTTGTCTTTTCTAAAATATCATTATTAATCAAGTATATTGTCTAGAACCACTATTACTAAAAGGATTACCTTAAAAAAATACATAAATATGAGAGATAAAATGAATCATGATCTTATATTTAGGATAAAAAATTATCTTGGATAAGTTAGTAAGGGCGGATGCAAGTAAGGCGGAGGGATGTTTGGGGCGGAGGTTGACACATTACCCACTGGCAGTGACAGAAATTGGGTAGTTACCAAACAAGGGAATGCTTCTGAAACTGAGGAGGACACGGAGGGGTAATCGGATAGTGCCGTTTCAGCTTACAAACACAAGTTGCTACTTAACCTCTATGAGTCCAAGTCAGCCTATATCGAATGAATATAGTGGATATCTTTAGAAATTGCTGTTATTATTACTATAGCAGCTGTAGGTCACCGAAGCCTCCTGTCTCATTTTCACTGTTAGGGGCTATACCTTCCAAAAAAAAAAAAAGACTCTCCTTTGCCTTGCGTTATCATCCGCCACGCCTGTTCATTGTTGGTATTTACAGCGCCTTCTAGGTACCTCCTTAATAACAATTTATCAGGTACATCTTTCTTTTTTCGGAAAAAAATATCCAGATAAAAATTATTGTTATAGTACTCTTCCGATCTTTAATATAAGACCTAATTGTTGAGTTGATTTTAGTTCTAAATATAAGACCCATTTCTTATATTTATCAATTTTTCCTAAATTATCCTTATGAATATTCCGTTAACCATAATTGAGGAAAAGAAGATATTAAGAAAGATGATTATGGTGTTTTAGGAAAAACATGTCATATTTCTTATAATTAACTAACTTACCTAAATTTCTTAATCTAATCAAATTAGTTAAATAAGTCTTATATTAAGGATGAGAAGAGTAGTATATTTTATCAACACTTTAGCTTGTGTATTGGATAAATCTTACTTGATAATTTATATTCGTATTACTTTTATTGCCATAAATTATATATTAATAACATTATTAAGATATCATATGCGGAGCCATGGCTAAAATTAATTACTAAAATACTCACAAAATAAATGAATGATCTTGCAAGTTAATAGCATAAAAACTTCCTCATTAGCGGAAAGCTATGAGTTTCATCCTTTTTTTTTTTTGGAGAATTAGAGCCAAGGATCAAGAAAAGACAATATTTACTTTAGAGGATCTTAAAAATCGTAATTATTTTAAAAGACTAAAAATTAAAATACAGTTTTAAAAATACTAAATCATCCATAATAACTAGACCTCTTATATTTTCTCTCTTACTACATTTCAGGTTTTTTGGGTGAAATTTTAATTATTTTTCTTTTCCATCAACTGTTGCATCTCACTCTATACCAAATTGAAAAACCATCAAATGTTGAATTTCGGACTGTGAGTAACAAATAGTTTTAAATGTTATCATTTGCGACAAGAAAACTTGAAGATCTTGTAATAATAATGTTATTAATGATTGCAAATTCTGAGTATGAATAACAAAAAAAATTGTGTATATAGAGCTTAGGGAAGTTCCAACTTTTTGAAAAACTTGTGGGAAAATGTAATTACATTATTTTGAAATAAATACCTAACAATATAAAATAGTAGGGAAGGAATGGAACAACTACTACTACATTAATGGTGAAAAAATCACGGAGAGAGATGGAGGAGGGACAGAGATAATTCGTTATTTTAGAATCAATATTTTTAATTTTGGTCCTTTCAAGTAATTCTAATTTTTATGGTCTTTTTTAATAAACATTTTATTCTATAGGTCTTTTATTCTAATTCTCCCCTTTTTTTTCCCGCGAATTTAAACCCGTCCCCCCATATGGGGACCACTCACGCATCCCATTTTGGCCACTTTGATGGCGTAGAATCCACAATTTTGGGTGTGTTTGGATAGAAACCAAACCATGGTTTCAGAAGTATTTTTACGGATTACGAAGTAAATATGTGGAGGGGATTATCTCGTTTTGCGGAAAAGTGCTTCTGAAACCACGGTTTTGGGATACCCAAACAGGCCCTTTATGTGAGAGGAGGTGTGGGGTGTTATCAAATTAAGAGATTCTTGACGGTTTAACTCTACTTGTAATTTTAAACCACTTAATGTTTATCTCTTTAATTATAAGAATTAAATAAAAAGTATAGGTATTACACATTCCCATATGCTACCATATAATATGTTCATAGTAATAATAATAAGAAGTTTATATATATTTTTAATTAAGTAATGCAATATGCCAATATCTAAAAACTCACTATCAATGTGCCCTACTAGCCGAGACAACTTCGACGGTTCCAAGGTTAATCAGAGAGGGCAATGGCTCACGCTGCAGTGTCTCGTCGTGGTCGGCCTCCCATTAAAGAGCTGCTTTGTCCTATTCCTCCCCTTCTTTTATTCCTCTAGTAGTACATCATTAATTCATAGTTAATTAACCTCCAACAAGTCAAGTACCAACTTGCTTCACTGCTTCAAATACCAAAATTTCTTGATTTCTCGAGTTCACTCCCATGGCTTCCTCGACTCTCAAACTCTTCCTCCTTCTCTTCCCAATCTTCCTCACACAGACCTGGGCCTCTCCTACAACAACACTTCACCCAAATCTCACTTCCATTAGATCTTTCTGCAGAACCACTCCATACCCAGAAGCTTGCTTCGATTCTTTGAAGCTCGGCATTTCAATCAGCATTAGCCCAAACATCCTCAACTATCTGCTTCAGTCTCTGCAAGTTGCCATCTCCGAAGCCACCCAGCTCTCGGATCTATTCCACAATGCAGGAGGCGGTTCTGGTTTGAACCTCGTGGAGAAGCAGAAAGGGTCAATTCAAGACTGTAGGGAGCTTCATCTTTCAACATTGACTTCCCTCAAAAGATCACTCTCTGGAGTTCGTAATTCGCCAACTTCTTCCCGGAAGCTCGCCGATTCTAGGGCCTACCTCAGCGCCGCCATGACCAACAAGAACACTTGCTTGGAAGGTCTCGACTCTGCTTCCGGCTCTCTCAAGCCTGTTCTCGTGGACTCTACCATTAAAACTTACAAACATGTCAGCAACTCTCTGTCCATGCTCCCTAAGCCAGGTGATCCACAATCTCACACAGTGAGTATGATTGTCTAAGTCCGATAATCTTATTCTGTATCATTGTCACTGTTCACCACCAGCTTTTAGAGGTTCCAGAGGCCATAAGAATAGGCGTCGTTTGCTGGGAGCTCCGGCGTGGCTGAAGAGGCGAGACCGTCGGATCTTGGATGGGGAAGAAAACAATCCAAATGAGATGCTTGTGGTGGCGGCGGATGGAACTGCGAACTTCACCACCATTACTGAAGCTGTGAACTATGCTCCCAGTAATAGCTTGTACAGGACAGTGATATATGTGAAGGCAGGGGTTTACGAGGAAAATGTGGAGATCCCAAGTGACAAGACCAACATTGTTCTGCTTGGAGATGGAAGCGATGTCACCCTCGTTACTGGTTACAGAAGCGTGGGCGATGGGTGGACCACCTTCAGATCTGCAACTTTAGGTAAACACTTCAGAGTTTACAATTTAGATTCCTTATTAATTTCGCCCCGTACTTTCTTTTCTTTTTTCATTTTTTTCTCCAACTCTGTCCTTAGTTTCTGAGCCGACCCTTTTTCAGAAGAATCACGGGGGTCATTATCTATCTGATTATCCATTAAGTATATTAGATTGTTCGTCTTTATTTTATTAGTTGGAGCCTTGCAAGTTTTCATAAAACAGAGAAAGAGAAAGAAGATGACATTTAAGGGTACTTTGCGACCCCATCATTCTCATGAACAGTGACGACACCATGAAAACCCAGACTTTTCTTGCAGAACGCTAGGAGGCATCACGATACTCGTTTGATAAACTGCCACTATCGTACAGAGATGGCATTAATTATTCTTAAAGCCTAATACCTATCAGGGGATTTTGCTTTTAGTATCTGAGCTCAAATCCTAATCAATGAAAGGCATACCAACGTTAAACAAGTGAGAGCCGATTCATCAACACAACAGTGCCAGTTTTCTTAATTTCATGTCATATACTCCTCCGGTCCTTATTATAAGACCCAATTTGACTTTTTATTTGGTCCTAATTATAAGACCCAATTCATTTTGTCTCTTATATTTATGTATTTTTTTCCAAGATAATCCTTCTAATAATTATAGTTTTAGCTAATATACTTAATTAGCAAGGATATTTTAGGAATGACAACACTTATTTATTATAAATAACCAACTTAACTTACTTCCTTAATCTCCTCAAATAAGTCAATTGGATCTTATAATTAGGACCGGAGGAGTACTTAAGATGGGCATATTTTGAATTATCTAAACAAGTGAGATCATTTTGTCTTCAGCTGTGTCCGGTGATGGCTTTCTGGCACGAGACATAGCGATAGAAAATAGCGCAGGGCCGGAGAAGCACCAGGCAGTAGCGTTAAGAGTAAACGCAGACTTAACCACGCTGTACAGATGCGCCGTTTATGGCTACCAAGACACCCTCTACGTCCATTCCTTCCGACAGTTCTACCGAGAATGCGACATCTACGGCACCATAGACTTCATCTTCGGAAACGCCGCCGTCGTTTTCCAAGCCTGCGACATCGTTTCGAGAAAGCCAATGCCTCACCAGTTCACCGTCATCACAGCTCAATCACGAGACTCACCGGACGAGGACACCGGAATCTCAATCCAGAATTGCTCCGTCATTGCCACCGAAGACCTATATACTAACTCTAGCAGCTCCAAGAGCTACCTCGGACGCCCGTGGAGGCCTTATTCTCGGACAGTGTACCTTGAGTCTTATATCGATGATTTCGTGGACCCAGAGGGGTGGACGGACTGGTCTGATGCCGATGGCGATGATTTGGAGACTCTGTACTATGGAGAGTATAATAATTATGGGCCGGGTTCGGGTACGGGTGGCAGGGTGAATTGGGTTGGGTACCATGTGATGGAGTATGAGGAGGCTTATAACTTTACGGTTTCTCAGTTCATTATGGGTGATGCTTGGCTTCAGTCAACTTCGGTCCCTTATGATGCTGGGATTTGACCCTATATACCAGTTAGATTGGCTGGTAATTATGTGATATATTAATGTTCTCGTCGTGGCCTGGAGAGGCTGCTTTTGAGTGGCACTATATATTGCAGAATAAAAGAGGAAAATTTGATAATTTATAGGAACATTGCAAGATTAAAATTCCTTTAATTAATTAGTTTGAAACATGGCCACATTCACAATTCACATGGATGACCAAGTATACAAAAAATTGTCCTTTGTTTTTAACTTGTTCAAATTAAGTTAAATTCAAGAGAGGACTCTAACACATTCCAGATATAATAACAATATAATATAATTAGCACGATATTGATAATATAATTTGAGCAGTGCAGCAATTAAGTAGCATCTTTTATGCAGTGCATGCACCTCTTTACATATATATATATATATATTATATATGACTGTCTATTTGAAATGACTCATCTATATACCTCATACATTTTGTATATTTATATTTATATATATTTAAATAAAAAGGCAAGAATAAACTTATGTCACGTTATACTGACGTTATATGTCATGAGAATGGATCTTCGAACAATCCAGAGCGAGAAATTTGGTACATATTTATAGGGAAAGCTGAGCCAGATCCATGAACATTCATGTGGCGTGATTTATGATATGATGATTTTAAATAATTACAGTTTTTATAATTTTCTCCATCCAGTTCTTTCTCTCTAATTTTCCCACACATATACTTAGATAATGTTTGTCCACATAGTACAATAATGAACGAAACAAATAGTCCTGTTTCAAACACAGATCTAAGAAAGATAATTGGTTGATAGCCGAAACACATTTGCCTAACGACGACTGGGCATAGGAATGTAATTAAGAGAAAGAAGGTCCTTGCTGATGGATCATTTTAAGGAGAAACGTACGCAACGTTGGGGGTTAACTTGCATGCTTCTTTCTATTTTCTGGTACTCCCAGTCCTAAGAAAAAGGGACGAAAAGGATTTCAAAGTTGGTTTGATCGATTAGGAAGAGAAGAGGCAGAGAAGAGAACTTAGCGAGAAACTCGAACATTGTTGGAAGACCTTAACTCACGTAGTACCACAAATAGAAATGCCTCAAATGCCTCTCGTCCGGACCACCTTAATCTCCCACCAACAAACTACCAACGTTAAAATTCCAAAGGATCAAACACCAAGAACGAAGAGGGAAAGGAATTAATTAACGTTACTAAAATTAAACGCCACCTCTCTTACCTTTCCCCGCCCTCTCTTTTCCCACCCTGTGCCTGGCTTCTTCCTAAGGCAGAGAGACTCTTCTCTGCCTTAGATAGATCGTTCTCTTTTTTTCTTTTTTCTTTTCTTTTTCTTCCTCCTCCTCTCTTCTTCTTCCTCTTCCTCTTTTATCATTTTAGTTTCCATACCATGGCGTTTCAAGACTTCGATCTCATCACCGAGAAAAGAAAAAATGACAGGAAACAGAAGCTCAAGCGCAGAATCGCCATAGGCGCAGTTTGCACCATCGTCGTCATTGGTCTTATAGGAGCAGCCGCTTTCGTAATCGTCAGCAATAACACTGAAGAAGAGAGCGAAGTCAATGACCATAACAAGAAATCCCCATCATCTTCTTCCCCAACGAGTTCACACAGTAGCTCCGGCGAGATTTCTGTGGCAGAGAAACTCGTGAAGGCCATTTGCAGTTCCACCGACTATCAGGACAAATGTGAGACAAGTCTCACCAAGGAAGTTAAAAAGGATCCGAAACTAGCACAACCAAAAGACGTCCTTAAGCTTGCCATTAGTGTCGCTCAGGACGAGGTCAATAAGGCCATAAATAAAACCAAAGACCTCAACTTTCAAACCGACAAAGAGAAAGGGGCTTACGAGGATTGCAAGAAACTTTTGGATCGCGCGAAAGACGATCTAGCGAATTCATCTTCACATGTTGGATCAGTTGACGTGAACAAGCTGACGTCCTCCTCTTCGGATTTGAACAGTTGGCTAAGTGCGGTTATCTCGTTCCAGGGAGCCTGCCTCGATGGGTTTTCTGAAGGGAAACTGAAGACAGAAATGCAGAGTGCATTTCAGGATTCAACGGAGTATGTTAGCAATACTCTTGCCATTCTATCGCAGTTAGGCTCCGTGGTTTCTTCGGCACTAAAGGAAGGTGCTAGCCGTCACTTGTTGTCGTCCGATGATCATAAAGGTCTTCCAGAGTGGATGAACGATGAAGATCGAAGGATGTTGAAGGCGGCAGATGATAAACCTACACCTAACGTCACCGTGGCCAGCGATGGCAGTGGAGACTTCAAAACCATCTCTGAAGCTCTAAAAGCTATACCACAAAAATACGATGGACGGTATATATACGCACACACACATGCATGCACTTATAGCTTCGTCATGCTAATGAATGAATCCGCGTTAACTATATTGAACTATACATACATATATTGAATCCATGAGAGTGTGTGAGAGAGAGAACGCAATCTGCTGGAAATTTACTGCACAATTTGTGCTATGGTTATTGGTTGCTCACGTAAGGCTTCTTATTTGCACTGCGAAAATGTAGGTATGTGGTTTATGTTAAAGCAGGAACATATGATGAGACTGTACTGATAGAAGGGCGAATGGTAAACCTAACCCTTTACGGTGATGGATCGCAAAAAAGCATTATCACCGGCAACAAGAACTTCGTAGATGGAGTAAGGACCTTCCAAACTGCATCATTTGGTAAGATTTCGAAAACCTTGTATCTCAGAACCTCATGATTTTATACTTAGTTGCTGGGAAATAGGTATTGCAATCCATTACATCGGTTAATGTATATAGGCTAAATTTGCATTTGGTGATGATACTGCAGCGGTAGAAGCAGATGGATTTTTAGGAAAAGCAATGGGATTCAGAAATACAGCAGGTCCAGAGAAGCACCAGGCCGTAGCAGCAAGAGTGCAAGGAGATCGTGCGGTATTTGTGAACTGTCGTTTCGAAGGGTACCAAGACACCCTCTACGCCCTAGCCCACAGGCAATTCTACCGGAGCTGTGTGATCTCCGGCACCGTGGACTTCATCTTCGGCGATGCAGCCGCCATCTTCCAAAACTGCATAATGAACATAAGGAAACCCTTAGACAACCAGCAAAACATAGTGACAGCTCAAGGCAGAATGGACCCACGAGAAACCACTGCCATTGTTTTGCAAAGCTGCCAGATCAAGGCCGACGATTCACTTGCCTCCGTGAAAGACAAGTTCAAGAGCTACCTTGGCCGGCCATGGAAGGAGTACTCGAGAACCATTGTCATGGAATCTGAGATCGACGACGTCATCGCCCCTGAAGGGTGGATGGAATGGGAAGGAGATTTTGCACTCAAAACTTTGTTCTATGCTGAGTACAACAATACTGGAGCAGGTTCGAATACTGATAATAGAGTGAAGTGGCCCGGCTACAAGAAGATCACAAGGGAAGAGGCTAGCAACTTCACCGTGGACTCTTTCTTGGCTGGTAATTGGATCTCTGCTATCAACGTACCAGTTCAACGAGGTTTGTATAACTGAGTAGCATAAACCGATGGTGCAGTACACTGTACTACGGTGGTGGGGTCTAGTCTGGTTCTTATGTACGTGCGTGCTCAATCCATCCATCGGCACTACTAGCCATTATTTGCTGTTTCGATCGCCATTTTGATAAATGTGCAAATTGTTATGTTGAAGTATGTTCCTGCATGTGATGGTTGAGTCGAAAAATTTTGCGTTACGTTCACCAAAACGATTCAAGGTAACTTCAAATAATACGAACAGTTCTTATGTTTCTCGTTGATTAGTTTGATCCATGGAGTACGATCTCTGCCAAAGTATCAGTTGTCGCCTGTCTCTCGTTGAAGATGAATCCAATTAACAAACGTTATCATTGCACTTCAATTTCATTGAGTTTGTAAGTGCGAAATTTTGTTTCTTTATAGTTTCTCTTTTTAAAACGGTTGTCGTTCGCTTGGCCCAATAATGCGGACAAATGGACGTGGTGACGTACGCCAAAATTTACACTAGTTGTGCCAGCATACAACTCTCGGGTTTGTTTTTAGCCCTTCATCCTGTTCTCTTCTAATGGGACACTCGTAAACATATTATTCGGTGGAAGGGTCAAAAGGATCATAGTGAAGCTGCAAAAGGATTCTTCTGATTCTTCTTCTTCTTCTTTTTTTTTTCAATCAAAGCTGTCAACTGATTCTGGTTAAAAAAAAAAAGAAAGCTGAATAATGAAAAACCTCGCCCTCCAAATAAGTATATATGAAAATAAAACGCACCAGCTTGGGCCAACTTATCTGAGATTGTAGTGTGGGCTAAAGCGGGTATGAAACGCTCGCTTGCGGCCTTGCACGAAGTTCAATCTTCTTCAATAAGCGGGCGCTGTGGGTAACTTGTAAGGCCTTCCCTATTGCTAATGATCGTGGACCCAACTGATCAACCAACGCACTCCAAAAAAAAAAAAAAAAGCTTCTTCGGAAAGCTTTGTTTGAACTGGAAGCCAAATATTTTGGCGCCGGTTGTGCGCTTTTGAAAAGACGGCATTTCCCCTCTTCTTTTCTCCATCGATGTGCATTCGGTCTTTCTTCCACTTTGCACAATTCGTGAGCTGCGTCTTCCTCTCAGTCTCATTCTCTTCTCTTTGCTTCTCTCTCTAAAGAGCTCGGGAAGAGTTTGAGTCTTGGTCAGAAATGGAGCAGCAAAGGCACCAAAAGGAGGCCCAACGGGAGGAAGCAGCTGAAGAGTTACAACATGGCCCTTTATCCGTTGAAGAGCTTCAGGTGATCGACATATTCAAAACGTAATGAATCTTAGCTCTTTTTTTAAAAAAAGAAAATAAATTAAGAATCAAGAATGCCTTTTGCCTAAATTGATACCTCAATTCCCAACTAATAATAATACCCACATGAGAGTCTTCGGTATATAAGGTGTTCTTGTTAGCAACATTAGGGTTCTTGGTTATCTTTTCTGTTCGTCTTGCCATCTCTATGAGGTCTCTCGAAAAAATTTCTTTTTTGGTTTCTAAGGTCCGATTTGTTCTATTACTGTCATGAGCTTTCTTCTCTCATACCATCTTCTATTGCGGAATAACCGTGTTGCCTTGATCATGGTTAAATAGCCGTTCTCCCCTTATTAAAAAGAAAAAAAAAAATCCTCGTGATGCAAATTTGTTCCGCTCCGATTTGACAGTTTTCCTTTTAATCGTAATCTTAGGCATCGGGCATATCTGCTACCGACGTCAAGAAACTTAAAGATGCCGGTCTTTGTACGGTTGAATCTGTGGCTTTCTCTCCTAGAAAGGACCTTCTGCAGATTAAAGGAATCAGTGACGCTAAAGTTGATAAGATCATTGAAGCAGGCATGCATCCCCGATTTGATTCCTTCGATAACTCCTTCCAATATTGGCCCTTATATGTTTGTTCTCTCATTTTTGTTGACAGCTTCTAAATTGGTGCCGTTGGGTTTCACTAGTGCTGCCCAACTTCATTCCCAGAGGCTTGCAATTATTCAAATAACATCAGGATCAGAAGAGCTAGACAAGATACTGGAAGGTAGGAGTAAGACATGTTAAAAATTGAATTTATTCGATGTCAGCTTCACTAGTTTGTTGATAAATTCACGTTTTTCATTGTTAATGGATCATGACCTTACGCCGCTGTTTCTTCCAGGAGGGATAGAGACAGGATCTATAACTGAGCTATATGGTGAATTTCGATCAGGGAAGACTCAGTTGTGTCATACTCTGTGTGTCACTTGCCAAGTAAGTGCTTTTTTCATTTTGGTATTAGCTGTCATGCAAGTGCGTCGTGAATAAGTAGTCTTAACATAATTTAGGAGGACACATATAGACATTGCGTCATACTTTGTTTTTATATTTTGACTTAAACAAGGGGGAAATGAAATATCATGTTGCAAACTAGAAAATGAAAATTAGCAATGTAATTCAGTCATTGCATTACCTTAAATATCATTTGTTTTCTTGACATTTCAGTTGCCACTTGATCAAGGAGGTGCTGAGGGCAAAGCAATGTACATTGATGCAGAGGGTACATTTAGACCACAGCGACTCTTACAAATAGCAGACAGGTATAGCATTTTTTTTGACACGTAATGCCTACTTCATGTGGGATGCACCCAATACTGATGTCACATTGATGCTGATTGATGCAGGTTTGGACTAAATGGAGCTGATGTATTGGAAAATGTTGCCTATGCTAGAGCATATAACACTGATCATCAATCACGACTTCTGCTTGAAGCTGCTTCAATGATGGTGGAAACAAGGTGTGACCTGCAGTTTTGGGGGGTCTGGTTTCAAGTATTGTAGTGCTTAAATGAGAGTAGCTTTTTCAATACGTTGAGCAAAGATACAGAAGTTAAATACAGAATAAATATCGTTGGTGACAACTGTTGGTATCTAATTGCATGCTTTAATGTAACATGTTGCTGCTTTCCTTATAGTATTTCATTGCTTTCTTCTCCTTTAGAAATTTAGAGAATCTGATTTGAATCCATCCAACTAGTTAATTTTACTTGAAAAAACTACGCGAGAATTAAAACTTCCAGCATATCTGCATCCTGGCGTGTCAGAATCAGACTCTCCTGCTATTTCTTTCGGGTGCATTCTAAATTACTTCTAAGCTTTAATCTTATGCGTTAACAGGTTTGCTCTGGTAATAGTTGACAGTGCTACTGCTCTCTATAGGACAGATTTTAGCGGAAGAGGGGAACTTTCTGCCCGGCAAATGCATCTGGCGAAGTTCCTTCGGAGCCTTCAGAAGCTA